TTTTTTGTGAAAATTTAATTTTTCACATATTGGCATTTTCAAGGTGTGACTTTAAAGTTCCATGATCTTGAAGACTTTTGCTTGTCACATTTTCTGAATGTCCATGTTACTAATATTTTATTAATAACATTTGATTGTCATTATGCTGTTAAACATTATGTAATGTTGCATCAAAATTTGAAGAAACCCCTTTTTTGGGCACTGCTCCTATGATGACCATTTAAGGGAAATCATGTCACTTACTGTTCTCAAACTTATAGGAAAGAAACATAGGACTAAAATACAGCTTCTATAGGCAATGCAGTCTGTTTGGTAAATTTTTCTGGTAATTTAACAGTTTTTTGTGAAAATTTAATTTTTCACTTATTTGCATCTTTATTTTCTGTTCTTTGTCTGTACATTTGACAGCTTTGCTGCCTTGTCTTTTTAAAGAAATTAAAATTTCTTAAAAGCAAATTTGGTATGAATTGTCATTGGTAAAGGCATAATTAAGTTAATTGAAAACGATGAAACATGAGCCATTGTCTTTCATTACTACAAAATGTTGAGAAAATGTTGGTTTTAAGAATATAATGAATTGATAAAGAAGTATTCAGAAGTGAAACAAGGAACTACAGGATGAATCCAGAAGTGAAACTATCAAGTATAGGATGTACCAAGTTGGATCAGTATATAAATGTGATTACTGTATAGAAATGATTTGAGTGCACACTAGTCAATATCTGGTGATAAAATTTTAAACAAATTGCTGTCTTAAACTCACCTTGAAATGGATAAAGAAAAATATTGCTGGGGCGAATGAGAACTACGCCCCTGTCACCTGATGTAATGTTGTCATGTGACATACGGGTATTCACGGTTAAATAGAATAACTTTTTATCTAAATTAAATATGAAGCCACCAAAGTATGCAAAATCTGACTTTGAATTGGTAGACAAAGTCAACTTCTAATCAACCTTCCCATCCTTAGAACATTTTCAATATTGTATCGTCATCAATTTAAACTATTTGACACAGAAATGTCACCTTGTTGTTATCAGTAATGACGCAGTTTTGTGGGGATTGGTTATTTATCACAGGCCAAGGAGGATATGTTAGGTTATGCTGTTCTTATCATTAATTTGACTGCAGTTTATGTCACAGTACTAAGTAGGTCAGCAGTCTTGATTTGTTGTCTATGGTTACTTGTTTTGGAGATTTTTGCTACATTAAAGAGAAAAAAAGAATCCTGGGGATCAACTTAAAAAATCACTTGTCTTTTTTGTTTTCCACTCCAGCTTGTGAACTCCAGCAGCCATTTTCCTCGACACACATGGGTATCATGAAACTGTGGAATTTTCATCGTCCTCCCCTCAAGAAGTATTCCCATGGACCCGTGTCGATCTCAGCGGAGGCGTCTCGATAGTCCGAAGGTTCATTGGTCCGAAGGTTCATTGGTCCGAAAAGTGGTAACATTTTCATCGATTTTTTAATCAATGGTTCATTGGTCCGTAGGTTCTATAGTGAACATTCGGGCCAATGAACCTTCGGACTATTGAACCTTCGGACTATCGCTACGGCCCCGTCTCAGCACGGACCACAGGCTGTAGTGTTCACAAACATAATTCCCAGACATGTAAATTAATTTGATTAGAGTCGATTGCTTGTGCACTCGACTCGTTTTATGGCCTTACCTGTAGTCATGTAACTTAAGTGGACGTGTGCAATTTGAATAATTAAAATTAGTATGTACCGCCAAATACTGCAGCACAGAATCCACCTATAGATAAGAAATACGTATAAAAGACGTCTAGAAATAATATCGGGGGGCAGACTGAAGAAGACTCGAAGGCAACCGCTCGACGGAGCTATGTGAGACGGCTTAGAAGTTGGAGGCTTCACGTATAGAACATGTAGTTAGAGATCGTCAACGAATAAACCATTTAACTGGTCATTATGTGGATTTGGGTTTTCTTTGCGCGACCTTACGTAAATCTGACACGAACCGTGGAATTTTGGAATTGCGTTATCCACTGAGTAAGTCTAAAACGTAAAGTCCTATTTCGAGCCCACGCTTGAATTAAGCGTTCAAAATTATATAAGTTTAGGACATTCATCTCATATGTAGATGTAAAGGTACATAACAAGGCTGTACAGCCTCTATTGAAAACTATAAAGAAGGAAGGCAAAGGTGAGTTCTGGTTGATAGTTTTTGAAGTAAAATCACAGATACGTATTCATCATATTGTTGCTCTGTTTTGATTTTTTTTAAAATTCAAAATGTGTGATATAAGTCTACCAGCACTGTTAGAATTGTAAGTACAATTTCATTTACCTGATACAAAAGTGATAAAAAGGTACAAAA